TATTCCAGTGAAGAAAAATCAGTTTCCCTGCTAAAGACATGGACTCCAATTTTTGGAAGACTGGTTTTTGGGGGAAAGGTGTGTTTGGTATATAAGTAAATTATTACATCAGTAAAACCTTGCCCTCAGTTAGGGATTTACAGGTATATTGTTCAGTCTCCCCCCACCTTGTCAAAATCCTGTGTCCTATTTGTCACAGGTAGTGCCATGAAAAAAACTAGTCTTTATTTCTGTCCATTACAGGAGAGAAATAGAAGAGAAACCACTTTAATTCCTAGATCCCTTTGTCTCCTGTCCTTCCAGGGATCTGCTGTTTCCCTAGTGCTCAGGCTGAGAGATTTTTTTCCAATCCCATATGCATACACTAGGACTCATCCTTTGTGGCCTGTTTTTTTTTTGGAATTCATTAAACTTTGAAACTGCTTTCATTTTCAGTCCCTTTAGAGTTAAACGTGCTCAGCTGGGCTGGCCAGTGCAGATGAGATAGGGCTTCTTTGATATGGCTTTTGGAAAACAGACCTTTTAAGACTGTTTTGGGCACAGCTGCACTCTACTCCAGCTGTATTAGTTGAAGCCAGTTCTCACATTAGCCACTGAAAATGCTTTCAGAACCCAGTTCAGCATGTAGATGGGGTCCAGGAGTGCAAAAAATTATTCATTCCCCATCAGAACTGTCATTACATGTGAGGGCTCCTTTTTGATTCCCTCACACTTTGTGACATAAGAGCAACTGATGGGTACTCTCCTGCTAATGTGCCATGTTCATGCTACATTATTATTGTGCAGCAGAGGACAGCTGGGCAGGAAAGGCCTTTGGCTTTACAGTATTTCACTTCCACAGGCACTATCTCAGGGATCATTTCTTTGTCACCTTCTTTTAGTGAGAGGAAAAAGTCTGACATCTGTCTTTCTGAGGAGCTGAGGGTGGAAAGCCTGTCTATATTGATGACGCAGATTGTAGGGCACCTGGACAGTGGGGAGGTGAAGGAACAGCCTCTCAGGCCCATTTCCCATTCCCCATTACACTTCTGCATCACATCAGACACAAGCCTCTTACCTTAAGGTTCATGCTGCTTTAGATCCAACTGCGACCTCAGTCATCCTGTAACTTCATATGGCATTGGCCTGCCCTTGGTGGGCCAGTGTTCCTGATATACACATTAGTCAACTCCTTCCATGAAAAAAAAAAGTTGTCTCCTATTCTACCATTTCAGCATGGTCAGATTCTTTGACTGAATCTGAATATCCACCCATTTGACCATCCCCTCTCAAGGGCTTATAAGACTATAAGGGCCTAAGACTCAAGGGCTTATAAAAACTGATCAACCATTTTGGACAAAAATATCTTATTTTGCTCCTGTTAAAAGCATTCTCATGACCTTTTCTTTGAACAAATCGAGGACCTCCCTTTTTGGAGTAGGAACTTTTGGTGTAGAGTGACTTTTGCATCAAAGTCACTCTACACCCCCTTCCCCATGAAAACTTGCCCAGATTTCATCAAAGTTACAAGTGATTAAAAATCTCTGCACATACTCAGTAAAGGCTTGCTAGAGACTTCTGCCTGAAGAGCATGGTTTGAACAACAAGGAGGAAATAAGGCCTAGGGCCACCCATTGAGCTATGAGAAAAAACAAAGTATTGAATAGCTGCTCATTAATTCACTCCTATCCACCCTGTGCAGTTATTGAGACAGGGGTCCTTGGAAAAACGAGCATGTGATTTATATAATTGAAGGCTGAATTACAATACGTACACGCAAGGGGGGCAAATTAAGGTCTCACAGGGAACCATAATTCTGGCATTTCCTGACTTTTGAATGGTTAACTTTGTAATCTCAATGTGCTCTCTTAACATATTTTTTGGTTTATATAATACATGGAGTGGTTTGATGCCTTTTAGTTGCCTACAACTACCTTGCTTTCTATGCTACGGAAAGAGTCATGAGTACATTGTACTGGCAGGAACTCTTTTTAGTTCTCCACAAAAAATGAAAGAGTAGGCTCACATAAACCATTACTAAGAAAGGAAAACCCTATTTTAAGTTGCTTTACAGAAACTGTCAAAGTACCTGCTGGCTTAATTAGTTATTAATTCCAGTTTCATTAGGAAGGAATTGCACTTTCACTAGCAAATCCTGCTGCTGGATTTTTAAAAGTGGGTGTTAATACTGCCTGTTTCAGTTTGCAGGTGCCATCCTAAATAATCTTCAGACCAAGATGCTGAAGATTCACATCCCTTATTGGTGTTTGTGTCACTATTCACCCACTGAAAATTTCACAGGGCCTTGGATTGTAAATTCTTTGACTCTTCATTTAGGACTAGGTTGTGACTTTGAAGAGCAGGTAAGGCCTTGCACCTTTAGGCACACTATCCAAATGCTGAGTTTAGTTAAATAGGTGCTTAGCAGAGATAAGCTCCTATTTATTTTCTTCTCACAGAGCAGGGGTGGAGATCTGAAAAAATTGTGAATAATCTTAACTCTTTTCCTTCCTTTCATAAACATCTCTCTATCAGAGCTCCTTTCTAGGTCTGGAATAGCTGAAATTTGGTGACCTTCTGTGTAAGCTACAAAAGACATCTGTTTGAAATAGTTTTAGTAGAAGGCTCAGGGTACATACTAGCCATGTCTACATGAGAAATTGGCTGCTCAGTTGTTACTGCACAGTCATTTAGTAGTTGTATAAGCAAGTACTAAATGAGTGCGCAGTAACCGATGTTACTGCACAGTAGCATCACTGAATGGCTTTTTGGTGATTACTGCTGTGCTGTAGCATCACAACATGCTCTGTGCCACATGACACTACTGTGCAGTAGTAACAAGCTACTGCACAGTCAGTGTCTCATATAGACATGGCCAGAGTGTATCAGTAAAAGGGTGGAAGACATGTCTGTAGGTATCTGGCTGGATGAGCTCCTATTGAAACGATTATTTTGTTGTTTTGTTGGCTGTATGACTGCATGTACCCATATCCTCAAAAAGGACTTAGACATCTGGCTTCCTCCTCAGGGACCTAAGTCCACCAGGTAGAGGCCACAGAAATCCTCAGAACACTTGCTTAGCTGTCTCTTAGCTCTGTAGATACCAGAGTTTCTGTTGGGTGATGTCTGCCTGGCCATCCAGAAGAGCCCTGTAGGTGGAACATGCACCTGGGAAGTGGTTGACCCAAGTTCAAATCTCTGGTCTGCTTGATTTGGAGCAGGGACTCAAACTTCAGTCACCTTGGTGACTGCCTCAACCTCCTAGCCATAGAGTGAACCTTTCTCTCAGGTGCAATTAATTTTTAATTATTATGCCAAGTGGAACAGCTCCAACAGTCGAGATAAAGAAAGCCCCCCCCTCCCCTTCCAGGATGTGTCACTCTGGGATGTGGGAGATATGTGTACAGGGCTCTGCTCCAAATCAGGCGGAGCAGGAATTTGGACCTGGGCTCCTCAGAGTTCCTGTTGCAGAATCCTGAAGGAAGAGAAAGCACCTTTTTGGCCAGGGATGGGTGCCTAAGCAATGCCCCTTTCCTCTATATTTCACTCCTGCCTAATGTCATCAGCTCCTTACTCAGCTGGTTTCAGGCGATCACTGTTTCGACTTCTTTCCCTTATTCTGCATTGTATAGAGAGCTTGAATGCCTCACTTGGAGCTAAAGATTCAACTGGGGGGTAGGAAGCTTTGGAGTTAGGTGTTGCAATGTTGAGTGGAGCTGTGACTCAATACCCCTGAGGTTCTTGAGCCTTGGCTGGACGTCTTTTTAGTTGACATGAAAATCTAAATAAGTAAGTGTTGGGTTCTTGTCCTCCACTGAAAGTGAATGGTATGCAGGAATATGTTTTGTTTCAGAGATGTGCTGACCTCCAGGCATGCACCTCATGTAGGCTCCTTGCAAAAGTCCACCACAAGTGGGAATGGACTGTGTGATGTCTAGAGTTTGGCGCAGGAGACAAGATTGGTCTCCAGTAGGAGCTGCTTATTTCAGAGTGCTTTTAACAACTGGGGGGTGGCAACACTAAAGATAAATTCAGTATTTCATTTTGCCAAACTTGTCTCTGATTATAAAAAATTCTTCCTTGTCCTCACTGGTATTTCCTGAAGTAAACCAAGACCACATCAAAATCATATCATCCCATGTCCATTTCTGCTTAATGAGGCATCTTCCTGTAGATCAGTTAGCACAAATACTTATTCATTCATCTTTTCACTGATCAGTCAACCACAAAAATATAACTGACATTTAAATGGTGCAGGAGGAGAGGCAGACAGGTTAGCCAGGCTTGGGATGCTGCCAGTAATCCCACAGTGTAATAAGTACACTCTCAAAAAATACCATATGAATTAATAGAAGCTGAGCTGGAAGATATGGTTTTTACAAACGTTAATTATAGCTGACAGCTTGGCATATTAGTGCAGAGTATTTCACCAGTGTCAGTTTCAAGCTCTGTTTGCGTGATTGTATTATTATTACCATCGTCATCATCATCCAAAGTGTGGGATTTAGTGTCTGTACAAGGCTATGAAGTCTTGTCATTTGGGGACTTTTACGCACATTGACAGCTGTATGTAGTTTGCTGGAAGGGGCTGGAGCCTTTATTCCTGGATTTAGTTCCCCATGGCCTTTCATCACCATGGGGGTCTTTTGAGGAATCATGGTGCTGAGTATGACTACAGCAGTGATGATGGTCTTGAATATATGTGCTGGCTTGTGATGTGGCAGCTACTGCTTTCAAGCTGGAGAGTTTATGTATCAGCTGCTGCCACATACTAGATTATTTTATCTCCCATATCCAAGGGTCTTTAGAAAAATGTTCTTAACATGTTCAGACTCGGGAAGGCAAATAGGGCTATTGTGATTCCAAACTGGGAAATACATCTGAAACGTACAGAGCTAATTGCTGTGGGAAAATGTACACACAGTACATCCCTGGATTGTTCAGAGCACTCACTTCAGTAACATTTTGTTATAAATCTTGTTTCAGTAACATTTTGTTTTAAATCTTGTCTTTCTCTGCAGGTAATGTGAATTACTCAATAGCTGGACACACCAAAGCATTCAGAAATATACATCTCAGCCATATCCTGAGGACTAGTTCCCTGTGGATTTCACTACTGTGGGTTAAGTGCTGTCACCTCTCAGCAGAGTGAGGTATAAACACAGGTCAGCCTCAAGCAGCATGTGATGTTTGTAGTATGTGTCTAAAGAAGAAACACCATCTTCCCCTAAAAAGGCCCAATCCTGCAAGATGTTGAGCTTCCTCACCTTCCATTGACATGAACAGAGGCTGAAAGGCATATATATCGTCTTGCAGTGGTTGACCTGAAAAAATGCTTATGATCACAGATCTTCCAATACGTAACTGTAATTATTTGGAAGGGGAAGAAATGGTGCAAACAGAAGGCATTGTGTCCTATGGCCAGCATCCTTTTTCTAGGCCTGATAGTAACTACAGGATAAGCATTTTTCCAGCAACTACACCAAGGTTAATTTGTGGAACTGGAGTGAAAGATGAGAAATTCAGTCATCAGTGGGCCCTTTTTCATTGGAATATCCCTGGAAGTGTCCAACAGTGGCTGGGTATTAAGCAGTGGCAAAACCACTGAGTTCACACCAGTAAGGCTTTACAGGACTGGCACTAGGTATGGCAAAGACACTTCCAAAGGAGCAGGGCGATAAAAGTTACTGGCCTTGATCCTACCATTGTCCTCATTTCAGGCAAGAGTACAGTCATCAGAGGGAATTTTGCCTGCCTCAGGGCTTGAAGGTCAGCCCCATTGTGTTTGTACAACATGCCTAGTTTAAACATTGACCCACACATTCTGAAAGCATTGAACAGAGGTTTCCTGAACAAGAATCACTGACGTTAAGGGAGTCCCCGAGCAACCCTTTAAGAAAATACATGTCAGAGTTGAAGCTCTTGCTTCGTTCTTGACTGTTCCTAGGCATTGAAGCACATATGATATGCAACATCTGGCACTCTTCTAAGCCCCTAACAGCACTCTGAATAGACACAGTAAGAGATAAGAGTGAGAGGTTTATTTAACTGTAAATATTTGCTGATGTTAGGCTGTCAAATATTAGTTTGATGGGGTTTTTCCTTCCTTTAATTCATAAGTTGTTAAAATTGGTGTATCTTTAAGATAGACCCTTAGACAGACACAGTATTCTTCCTGCCCTCTTTGTCACCCTTATTACATAATGAGAGTTATATAGAGTCTAATAAAGGCTGTAATCCACATAATAAAGTGGATTACAATCTTTATTAGAGCACTTTGCACCACACACATTTGAGTGCCAAGGGTGCAAGATCACACTCTGTAGGCTGTGCAGTTCTCATAATTTAATTGACCCTCTTCATTGTCTCATACTTCAGTGAGCTTTCCTTACTCTCTCTGTCAGGTTTTTCTGTTTGCTGCATCAGTGGCAGCAATCACGAACATTTAGTAGCTTTCTCTCACACCAGCCTTTGTGCTTTCTTCAACATTGTGCTATATACCTCCTTAAAACAAAACCATATTTGCCTTCTCAAGATTCACAGCCATTGTGATGACAGAAAAGTCAGCTGCTGTTGAGGTCAAATCACAGGCAGAAATGATATTCTGTATGACAGTTCTCATGATTTATGGTTCTTTTTTCATAATGGCTCAGATCCTAGAATGACACAATTATGTTAGAATCTCGTAGTTCTTAGGGGTGAAAGGGGACGAGGAAAGGGATAGGGACTAAGTTTCCAGCTCTCATGGTCACAGAAAATTTGGAAAATGTGAACTCCAAAGCCAGAAGGTAAATTAAAAGCCCCAACTGTATTGTTTTTCAGATCTATTCTTTTAAAGGCAATCTCAGGATTGGGAGGTCTCGATACATGATTTCTGGGGCTGGCAGTACTGTACATTGTATATTTTTAGGTTTAAAAAAATCTCAAAGTTCAAAACCATCACACTGTATGTTAGCCTGTCAAGCTGCATCATCTTATCGCAGCACCCTTGGCTTCCTTCTGCAACTGTGTCTACTGTTTACTATACTCACTGTTTCCTGTCTGGTTTCACATGAGGGATAGATTTTGCAAATAGATCCTTCTGGGTGCGTACCTTTTACTTGAAGGTAATCCCAGTGGGCTTCCAGATGGGAGGTTTCCTTGCAAGATCTAGCTCTTAAACTATCTGCTGGTTAGGGCAGGGCCCGTGTGTTTCTATCTGTTTGTTCACTGGACTCCAGTCCCTGAATGGCCTTTTGGGGTGCTCTTTTTGGAATAATTGAATGAATAACAATTAGGTTCTAATCCTTCCTTTCTGTGATGATGAAATCACTGAGCACCTTGCGGTAAGATCTAAGCATCGTGCAGAATCATGTGTGTACCTTCCTGATTTTCAGAGGCAACAAAATCTACGGCTCCCAATTTCAGTTAGAGTTCTGGGTACTGAGCACTTCAGATAATCAGATAACTGTCTGACATGTTTGTGGAGATACAGATACTTTCATTTCCCTTTTATACCTACCTAAGATGAGCTGGCCACTAAAATAATCTCCTTAAAAGTCGAATTCTCACACTGGCAGTGCCAGAAATCATATAGGAGATTGCAGCTATTTACTGACTGATGGGATGTGCATCCTGTTGTATCCTCTGTCCAAAAGAAATATGGAACCATACGTTTCATCCTCATGTTACTGATGGGTTGTATTGTATCATAGTTTTGTCAGCCAGTCACGTAGGAGCTTAATATGTTTCAGTTGTTTGAGGGGTGTGGAAACTTAAGCAAGTCTCACTTGTGTTTTTTTTTTTTCTTTTTTTCTTTTCCTCAGTGCTGTAACATGATAGCCACCCTTCCAGCTTTTAGAAATGAGCTTCAGCATTTCAGAATGTATTATTTATCCTGTTGCAGATTGTGAACAGCATCTAAAATTGAAGTGGGGAAAGGTTCCTCTAAATCTACCGTGGATGTGAAGAAGCATTGTTGCTTGAAGAAAAACTAAAGCTGTGCTTGATAGCTTCATAGTTTCATAGTTGTTAGGAGCTGGAAGGGACCTTACAGATGATTGGGTCCAGCCCCCTGCATCTGGGCAGGAAAGATCGCTAGGATCAGATGACCCCAGCAAGATGGGCATCAAGATACTTTTTGAACGTCACCAGGGTGGATGACTGTACCACCTCGGGGAGCCTGTTCCAAACCCTGGGTACTCAACCGATCATTACCTACTGTTGTATTTGGATTGCTTCTCGCCTCTCTGTAACTTAAACTGGGTTCCAAAATTATTTAAAAAAATGTTCATGAAACTTTACCTTAAGCTTAGGGGTAGCTAGTCTCAACCACTGTCAAAACTCATGTAGGGAGGATACTACAATAGCAGGTTTTTCTGTTCTTTATTTTTAATGTAGAGAATTGTATGTAGATAATTGTAATAGAATATAGATAACTATTCCCTTTAGAGGCCACCCACTGAGCTGTTGGCACTTGGCACTCTGGTACAGGTGAGATTTGTAAAGAGATTATGAATTTAGGGCAGATAAAAGGAAGATAAAAGTTGTATTGAGATTGTTAGTATTGCAGGACTGATATTCAGAAATGTTATAGAAAAAGAATTGTCAGGTTTTGAATATGTTATGGATATGCAGGGCTATTGACTGGATGCATCCAAAGATGACACCCAGGGCCAGAAGGATGTTAGGGTGGCAAAGCTGTGGGAAGCTAAGAAAGGGGAAGAGAAAACAGAGTTGAGTTTTGACAATATTACATTTAATTTCTTCCAGGGCACCTTCAAGGTAACATCTTAGCCTGTGTATCCAATTATAGAAACAAATGGTGAGAAGGAAGGGATGGTTCAACTTTTTTTTGCATGAGAAGACTTTTTTTGTTGGAAAAAAATCGTCTTTGCAGGAAAAATTGTTGATGTCATCTTTCATCCGTTGAACTTCTGGCACTGTTGCCTCGCCAAAGAGGTATTTAATATAATTATTAACCTTTTTACTTTCCTAACAATGATCTTTTCTCCCTGAAAATCAGATTGTTAATGACCAAACTCTCTGAAATAATTTTGATATGAATTTCTATCATGCTTCTAGTAAAAGATGCCCTTGATGGAATAATGAGCCTATTTAGAACCCTGAGAAATAGAATTGGCTTTGACATTTCTAACAACAGTCATCTTTGAGCATGGATTCCCATGTTTGTATGTGCTTGTGGGTGTTCGCAGGAAAGCCACCTTTAGAGCCTGATTGGTCTCCATTCTTGCACAATACCAAGCACATTCTCAGTGCTAAGCAAATAGTAATAGAAATAAATTGTGTAAGAGTACAACTCTTTAAATTTATATGTAGAAAAATTATCCCCTAGGCTTATATGAAATAGTGTGTATGGTAAAATGAATTCTGAGCTAAGCCCATGCTAGACATCCTCACAAGATTAACTATTCTGGACAATAGAAGCATAAAAAACTGGACAGCCCTCTCCACCCCATGCACAAAGTATACCATGTGAACTGAGATACCAGAGTACAGAGCAAAAAAGATTAAGAGGACATCTTTGATCTCTTGTTTTTTCCTACCATTATTAATAACACTGTGATTTGTCACTCCTTGTGCTGGAACACAAATATATTTGTAGTACAGCAGAGGCCAAGCATAGAAAAATGTATTTACCCTGGTTTTACTTATTATTAATACTCCTGTAATTCCATTGACTTCATGGAGTTGCATGCCCTATTAAAGTAGTGTAAGGGTAAATACAAGCTGATTCCATATTTGAACCCAGCCCCTTTGGTTTCCCCAACCTACCCTTGTGTCGCAGGGCACTGAAGTGCCTTCTCCTATAGAAGGACAGGTGTTGGTTGCTGGGGCAACCACAGGGGTCAGCTGACCAGGAGGGGGCGGGGTCTGGCGTATATAAACAAGCCAGGCTGAGACCAGGTTCAGTTCCCCTCTGGCAGCCGAGGAAGGTGGAGCTCTGTTGGAGCAGGCAGTGAAAGGAACCTGATGGCCAGGAACCACTCCCGTGTGAGGAGGACGGGTGGAGGAAACCCTGGTAGGGATTTGGGAGAGAGGATAAGCTACCGGAGGATTTCATCGTGTTTTAGCCAGGAGGCTTCATTTGAGCTATAGCCGGTTGGGTCATGTTATTCTGTTTGTTGTTTGTTGTTATACCGGAGGACCGGGTGAGGCTATAAGGGGTTGGAGGAGGCCTCATAGGAGCTCCCCAGTAGCGTGGGGGTTCCTGGTGCCAGAGAGGGCACAGCAGTCTGGTGCCAGAGAGGGCACAGTAGTTAGGGGGTGCACTGACCCCAACCCTGACAAGGGGGTTCAGTGGACTGAGGGCCAGGTAAGGCTGAGGCCACCTGAGCCCAATTGTGGGAAGCCCCAGTGGGCGTAGGACCCGGAAAGGGGTCTGGAGGCCAGGCATGGCTAAGGCCACCTGAGCCTCAGGTATGGGAAGCCCCAGTGGGGTGCAAGACCCGGAAAGGGGGTCTGGGGGCCAGGCATGGCTACAGCCACCTGAGCCCCGATTGTGGGAGTTGCCGAGCAAGGCCCCAGTGCGGGCGTGAGTGCAAGCAAGGCCCAGCGGGGCAGCGTTGTGAGGGAAAAGCCCCAGGGAGGGCGATCGTACGGAGGGAAGCCCAGGGAAGGCGATTGTACAGTGACCATGGGGAAAAGGCCCAGAATGGGCAGCAGCCGCGGGAGAAGTTAGGGAGTGCCCGTGAGGGTGCATAGGTGAATAGCCCAAGGGGCGCACAAGAATAGAAGCCCAGTGAGGGCGGGTAGGAATAAGAGCCCAGAGAGGGTGGGAGTATTTTGCATTAAGCCCTGGAGAGGGCGAGCGTACAGAGGCAAGCCCTGGAGAGGGCGAGCGTACAGAGGCAAGCCCCGGAGAGGGCGAGCGTACAGCGGCGGGCCCGGAGGATGTCTGCAAGGGCATGGGCAATAGTAATTTGACTTAACAAGGTCTGGTACATCTGAGAGGCTTGGGGTATGGTATTAGGGATGGTAGGAGCCATGCACAGCCCATAAGGCTGGGTGCACCAAATCAATCTATGCGGAACAGGGGCCAGGATAAATAAG